CATTTCCTGAAATGAGTAATAAAATTAATATTATTTTTTTATACGAATATAAAAAAAATATTTATTATATTGTTAAAAAATTATTTAAAAATAAAATAGGATAACTTTTAAAATTAGAGTTTTCTAACTTTTTAAAATAGTTGTATTTTTATTTTTATTAATTTTTTAAATATAAATTTATAATAAATATATATTTTTTATTCTTATTACAGGTGAAAAAAAATTCTTAAAATAAAATAAAATTTTTTAAAGTAAAATAAAATTCTATAATCATTCTCTTTGAAGTTTCAACCAGCGTCAAACGAGATCTGCAGAGTACAAAACACATTCAAGTTACAACCCTCCACCCCGTCTCCTTCTGCTTTTAAGAAAAGCATCTAAATTTATCACCAGTTGGCTGCGTTGCATATCGGGTGTCCTTGAAATCCAACCCTCAACCATGGAGATTGATTTTGCAGGGAAAGCAAAAGAAGCATTCTTTGAGGATAACTTTGAACTGGCTGTTGATTTCTACTCTAAAGCCATTGACTTGAACCCCAACGACCCCCATCTTTTCGCCGACCGAGCTCAGGCCAATATCAAACTCAAGAACTTCACCGGTAATGCATCATATGCAATTCAAGTAAAGGCTTTTGGTTTTTGTTTTTTTTTTTTTTTTTTTTTTTTTTTTTTTTTTTGTGAGTGTGTGTTTAGGTTTGTTTGCTATAAAGATATCTGCTTACTGCCTCCTTCTTTTGTTGAAATTAACCATACCCAATTTGAATTACATGGAAAAGCAATGGCTTTGGTTTCAGTTTATTACATACCAATATTGCATTGTTTAGATCTACTTCTAGTTTTAGTTGTGGTTTCTGGGAGTGCATTTTGAAGAGCTGTTTTGTGTGGCAGAGGCTATTGCTGATGCTAAACAAGCGATTGCGTTGGATCCTAAGATGGCTAAAGCGTACCTGCGGAAAGGGTAATGTTTTCTCTTCCTCTATGATCTTATGCGTTTGTGTGTTTGTTACTAATTCATTATCATGATTTAATTTGTACACTCTAAGCGGTATTGAGGATCTTGTGAAGTCTGCGGGCTTGACCCCTGCAATCATCTTTTAATTTTCCTTTCCGTGCTTTACATGTAGGAGATTTATTTTCAACTAAATAACCTCTTTTTTTTTTCCATCTTTTATTTTAATCACTGATTTCATCTCACATCTTATTGTATAATAGTAGTAAGCTAGTAGTATAAGCACCAGTAGTTGTTGTTGTGCTGCTGATTGGCAAAAGTTGCCTCGTTTTCTCTAAATTAATGTGCATTTTGTATTACATTTTTCTTCTATCTAAAGGTAATTCTTAAATATGTAGTTTAATTATTGACCATCATGTATTGATCTCTTTCATGAACTAAGCTTTTACCTTAATGTTTATAGCACTGCTTGCATGAAGTGTGGAGAGTATCATACAGCCAAGGAAGCCCTGGAAGCAGGTGCTGTGTTAGCAGAAAATGATTCCAGGTTCACAACTTTAATCAAAGAATGTGACCAGCATATTGCAGGTAAAGGGACATTTTAATATCTATGTTCTTTAAGAGTTAAAGATTAGAATATGGTAGCACAGATTATTTGGTGATAAAGCTTATTTTAATCCATATTAGCTGTAAAAGTTAGGAATACCTTCAGAGTGGGGGCAATATATATTCCTCAATTTTTTTAAAAACAAAAAGAAAAACCCTAAGATCTGTAACCCACAAGATTAGCAAGGACAAATAGAGTTGATGTCCCTGTGTTTAAATCACCCTATTTACTGGACACTACAAATTGTGTGTACTACTTGTAGATTGTAATTTATGGGTCTTCTTTTTTATGGTCACTAGTGGTGACTTCTGATTCTAAGAGTATCATTCTCTTCTATATATAGGGTTTCAGTTTAGTAGTTATTTATGCTAATGAGATGTCTGTGATTTTAATATCTATATTTATACTTGGATAATGGATTTTCTTTTTCTTTCTTCAGAGGAGACTAGAGATTTAACTAAGTCAGTAACACCTGCAACTGCAACTCCAGTCAATGTTAGCTTATCCAAACCAAAATTCAGGTTTCTTGCTGTTTCCCTTTCTTTTTGCAACTAGTCAATCAGCCATATACTCATGTTTAAAATTATTAATTGAGCAGACATGAATTCTATCAGAAACCAGACGAAGTAGTGGTCACAATATTTGCAAAGGGAATAGCAGCAGAAGATGTTTCTGTTGTTTTTGGTGAACAGATTGTATGGTTTACATTCCAAAGTTCTTTTGTCTTAATATCAGATAATTTTTTATGTTGTTCACTATGAATTATAAGCTGATTTATTCTTGTTCTGCAGTTGAGTGTGACCATTAACGTCCCAGGGGAAGATGCTTATCATTTTCAACCTAGACTTTTTGCGAAGGTATGAACTGAAACTATAGAATGCTAATTCTTATATGGGAACTTCTTTTTAATTCTTTTATCTCTTAAGCTTTGACGTTATTGGCTGTCCAAGCATGAGATTAATAGTCATTGGTTGTCTTTTTTATTTTGGATTCATGGATATAACAGATAATGCCTCAGAAGTCCAGATACCAAGTATTATCAACCAAGGTGGAAATACGCCTACTGAAAGCTGAAGTTACACAGTGGACATCTCTTGAATACAGCAAGGAGATTACAGTTCTACAGAAACCAAGTGTCTCATTGGGTAGGCTGGAGTCTCATGCTCACATGTTTTTTCCTTCATCTAATATTGATGAATTTGTTTCCTTCTTAATCTATTTGCTTGTTATATATGAGTCCACAGTTGGATCCCAGAGGCCTGCATATCCATCTTCAAAATCTAAAGCAATAGATTGGGACAAGCTCGAAGCAGAAGTGAAGAAGGAGGTTTGTTAAAAGAAAGCTTCTGTTTTTATAGTGGAAATTTCTGTTTTCCACAATATGTTAAGAAAACATTATTGTGTGCAATATTTTTCTAATAAAATTTGTTTTTCTGATGCCTGAATTTTAGGAGAAAGAAGAGAAGCTGGATGGTGATGCTGGCTTGAATAAGCTATTTCGGGACATTTTTCAGAATGGAGATGAGAATATGAGAAGAGCCATGAACAAATCTTTTGTAAGTTTCATATCCTAGTGTACTGCAGCTAATGTCATGTAGTGTAATAAAATATCCTCCCAGAGTAGCCTCTTTTGAAGCATTAGCTACTGTTTCATCTCCAAGTCTGTCTGTCTTAGCATGCATATATGTTGCAATGATTGAGGAAAAAGATTATGCTTTTATTCAGCTAGCTGCTTGATGAATATTCTTCATTTCATTACAGTTTTTAGTTGATTCAGGATGGCAAAAATTAAAAATTTCTGTTTGATGATCTCATTGGTAAAATCTGCTGTTTTATCTTAGGTGGAGTCAAACGGCACTGTTCTCTCAACAGATTGGAAAGAAGTTGGATCAAAGAAGGTTGAAGGCAGTGCACCTGAGGGTATGGAGATGAAGAAATGGGAGTATTAAGCATCTATGCTGCAGCTTATATAAAAAATTTTCAAATCGGACTTACTGTCTTCATATATGTGGAGTTAGCTGGTTTAATTTGTTAGTTGTACCTCCCATAAAAAAAAAAAAAAAAAAAAATTTGTGAGTTGGACCATATATACTTCTTTGTAGTGGATAAGGATAAACCTCAGTCCCAATAGCAACGTAATTTTGGCAAAATCTTTTATAAGGGGCACCAAAAAGAGAACAACTATTTATCCATGAAAATTTTTAGGTCTGTTTTGTAACTTTTGTTTGGGGTGAATATAAACATGATGAATTCAAATATGTGCTGTAATTGTTCTTATTATTACTTTAACATTTCAGAATTTATGGATGAACTGTGCTTGCCTTATGCAAAACAATGAACAAACTCTAATAGGTCAGCCAATGAGAGGTAGTGTGGGGTTTTTTGGTTGACACAATATCAAATGCCAATAACGAAAGCACCGCAATCACACTGTTGTATTCCATACCAAGCAGGAGACTACCCAGTTTAAAAACAAAGGAAGATGAATGCATTGCCATGAAAAGAAAATTGAGAAACCACACCAGTTGCAATTGAACAATTCAAGTCACGAATCCATTTTACATGATTAAAGAAGAAACAACAAAAATGATACTGAGTTCCAATTGATAACTGGCTGCCTCAACTCTTTATCAGCATTGTTTCTGTTGAAGTAATTTTAACTTCAAACTCCTTTTGCTTGAAAGACTAGCACTGCATTGAAGCTACTGCAGGTTGCAGAAATTGATTTGATTGCTGTGGAGAGCTTGAACATGAAATAGAGAACAGAGCAACCCTCGTCCAAAGATCTTGTCATTCACACGTTTGCAGTTTGATTAACCCTTCCCACCCTGAAAGAGAGAGTTAAAAGTTCAAACTGATTGAACTCTTCTTAACTATTCACACGTTCTCGTCTGATAACTCAATAGCAATTTATTAGACAGGTTTACCTGGTCCAGAAAGAACAATTTATCAAGTCACAGAAATCAGAAACTAATGTTTCTTACCTTGTGAGGTGGAGTTCCTGGTCTCAACATGTTGCCAAATCCAACTTTTCCTTTCTTCTCTGTAGCCTTAAGTATTTGAAAGGAACATGTAAGAGTATCATCAACACTCATCATGGCACCTGCATTGTCAAATTCACCACAGTAGTTTGGCGCAGAGAATATGGTCACCAGCTGCCTCTTTGCAAAGAATTCATAACCATCTTCTACAACCTGATGAAGTATTAAAATATATATAAAGAAAAAAAAAGGGGAGGAGAAACAATTCACGAGTTAGATCTGTTCACATGCCTAAATTTATTGACACCAAGAAAATGGTTTCCAGGGGAGCTGATTTGAGCATATCATGTTAACGTGATCAGCCTCTTCAGTTTTCTTATGTTTACAGACAAAGTGTTGTCCAGTATACCACCCCATAAGAATCACTTAAATATAGCAATAGAGAGGATCGAATGATTTCAATTAATGGAATTTCAGTTAAAATGTGTGGAAAATCTTGCAAAAATGCAAGCATGGGCTTCTTGCCAGAGCCAGCTAGGAAGGCCGATCTCAATCCAAATTACATTACCTGATGAGCTCGGCAGATGAGATCAAGGTCATGTTTCTGGAGGAACTCAGCAACCTTGTCTGCCCCAAATGTATATGAGACACCCCTATCATTCTCTTCCCAACCTTCAACATCTCTATCAGGATCAGCCCACAAGAGATCACAGAGAAGACCTTGATCTGGCACATCAACAGGACGAGCAATATTCCGGATCTGATCCAAGTTGGCCAAATCAGGAGATATGCCACCATGCATGCAAAGAATCTTCTCATCAATTAGAGCAGCAACAGGCAGACAATTAAAGCAGTCTGTAAATGTCCTCCAGATACGAATATTGAACCTTCTCTTGCATTCATCATAGAACCCATAAATACGGTTGATTGAAGCACATTCATGATTGCCTCTGAGAAGAAAGAAGTTCTCTTTGTATTTGATTTTGTATGCAAGAAGAAGGCATATTGTCTCTATGCTCTGCTTACCACGATCAACATAGTCCCCTAGGAATAAATAATTGGCTGCAGGTGGGTACCCACCATACTCAAACAGGCGAAGAAGATCTGAAAATTGACCATGAATGTCTCCTGCCAAGGGAAATAAATAAAGAGAGTATTCTTGATTCAATAATGGGCAGTAAAGAAGTTAAATTTGGACACTGAGCTGCAACAACCAACAGGAATAGAGTAGTAAGCATGCTGATATATTTATCTGAGCAGTAGAAAGATAAGAAAGCAGCCCAGCATTATAAAATAATATAAATGGCCAGAGAAAAAAGAAGAAGCTAGGGCAGTATAGGAGTGCTGTTTAAGTTTTAACCATATAAACAGATTGTTCAGGCTCCTCCTCATATATTTATGGAACAATTCAAGATTAAACTTGCCAAAACAACAGGCAATTCCAAAAGCTGTTACAGGATATTAGCGGTCCGACATGAAAATATAATTTTTGAACAAATGAAGATACAGACTTTGCCATTTATATACCATGGACCAACTAAGCATGAATAAAGCATGGCACCTCTCATTCATTTGCCCAGAAAAATAACTTGTACTAAATGTAAATTTCAAAATAAAAACTTCAGTTCACCATTGAATCAATTTAGCTTCTAAGCTTATATCCAAGAAATAAGAAAATCAGGATTCTTCCTAAAGTCATCCTTAATTTCTGAACAAATTTCCAAAGATTAACACTTGAATAAGATCCAAACAAGAAAAATACCCAACAGAAAAATAATTAGAATCAATAACTGTAACAACAAAAGATTGGCGTATCAAGTAAAAAATAGACGATTTTGTAAATTAATATTAAGTACCGCAAATTTTGATGGGTGCTTCGAGCTCTAGAAGATTAGGCTGGTTAAGAAAGACGTCTTTGGATGCCGTACAGAGCTGGCGTATCTCGGCCTCCGTCAGATGGACCTGCTTGGTAGTCCTGCCGTTCTTCGCCTCCAACAGCCTCCTTATAATATCATCGAGCAAATTCTCATCCATCAAAAACCGAAAAAGAAAAAAAGAAAAGAAAAGAAAGAAAACCCACAAAGAATTACAATCGGCAAAGCCTGAGAGACCCTAAAGCAAGATGCTTTTCCCCCTTCCTTCACCACTGAAAATGGTGGTTTTCTGCTTTTTCTTGGTAAACGGAGGTTACCTGAATAATAGAGCAAAGTATACAGCCCTAAGCTCACACGTGTGTGAGAGTGGAGGGGTTACTTCCTTCCCTTTAAAGTCAACGTTATCGAACGAAAGTCTTTACAATAATTATAGGATGATGGGTGATTGATGAACTTGAAATATATCCATTATTTTTTTGCTCTTTTTTTTTTGTTTTTTTTTTTTGTTTTATGGAATATGATTTGTGTTTTAATGATTTTATAAATATTTGCTTAAATTTTTTTTTTTAGCAAAGTTGTTATGACAGAGGCTCGAATTCGCCTAAAAAAGAAGGAGATGTATCTCAAAGTGATCAAATACTACTTGACCCAAAAAAAACAAAAGTAAAATTTGTTTAGATAATCGAATCATAAAATATAAATTATTTTAAAAAATATTGCTTTTGGTATGTGTGTCACCTTTATCAAATAGTTTTATTGTGTAATTTTGAATTGAATAATATTTTTTTGTTATATTATGCTAGATAAGGGTAATGATATAGTTAATTTATAATTTTTATATATTATCTTATAAATATATAATATTATAAATTTTAATTAAATAAAAATAATTAATCATTAAATAACATGTAAAATTATATAAAATTTTATATAATAAAAATTGATCTTTAATTATTTTTCATTTCATAAAATATGAGTGTATGAACATGCCAATAAAAGTTTAACTACGATTTCATGATTGAAGCATTGTAATTTTTATCATTTATTATAATTTAAAAAATATGTTTCATTCGTATTTCTGCATCCAACATACGAATAGAGAGAAAATAAAAATAAAAAATAATTATCTTTTACCATGTGAAACTTAATTTAAAAAAAAAAAACTTAAAAAGGTGATAAGATAATAAATTAAACTTAGCATTATACAAGTAGACTACAGTACTCCTTTCTTATTGAACTATTAGGACAACATTCCAAACTATTGGAAAAGGATTTGTTTAAACATAACTATAGCTATGTTGATTATTTAAAAAAGTTGGTTTCTTGAATTGTTTTATGGTTATCTAAGAG